TTCCTTTAAAAAGAGGTCTTTTAAAACCCTCATTGTCTCAATTCCCACTCAAAAAGAGGTCAATGTTGTCATGTCTGGCTTGTTGTACTTAGCTAAATTTATTCATTTTACTCTTTTTATACTAATTCATCTTTGGTGTTACTGTCAGATATGTTTCCCTGAACACCCCATTTATTCTATCACTAGCTTGACAGCATAAATCAACAGTTAGTCCTTGTATTACTAGGATTGCTTCAGCTGCAGTTGTTGGTCAATCCCAGACCAACTAATTTAAGAAGTGATTTATTATTACACATCACAAAAAGTCCTGAGGTGGGGCAGCTCCAGGATCGACTAAGTGATTGACTCACTCAATCACCAAGGGCCCATCTAGGTATGTTGGCATTTTCCTTAGGTTATCTTCTTTAATGATCCTCAAATGGCTCTTGCAGTTCTAGTTGATGCCTGTGGATATACCAGTGGCTAGTGAAATAAAAAGGGCTGTTTCTTCACACATGAGTCTGTCAGACAAGAAAACTCATCCCAGGAGGTCTCAAGCAGACTGATCGTGTTCAACAGGCTAAATTTTGTTCACATGCCCCTGTCTGAGGAAGGCTCTGGAAAGGCAAATGGGGCTATCTCTCTGTTGGCTTAGATAATTATGCTTTACCTTTTGGAAGCCCGGGCTGGGGATAGAAATGGGTCCTCACTTCCCTGACTGAAGCACATCACCCGTAAGGATGGGGGTGGAAAAGAATCAGGTTACTGCCAGCCAGGAACAGGGCACAGAAGAACCACTGGGTAAGCAGCACTGTCTGCCTTCACCTTCCTTGGCCAGGCAGCACCTGTCACACCTTCTCCCTTCTCATCCCAATCCATCCACTTCAAATATTGCTGCAACCCATATGTTTATTCTATACTACATTAATACAAGTCTAGGATCCTGTTCCCATTCAGAGCTGGAGTAGTTATCTATGGTCTATAGACCTAATCAAAGATAAATTAAACACATCCAGTCATCCAAATGTAGCGGGGATAGAGACAAGTCTAGGGTCCCCCAGTTTCCAGGAGGGCAGCAGCAGTGAACATCACATGGTAGCGCACTGGTTACACTCTAGGCTTTGTCCAGGATTCTTTCTGTGGCAGTGAAATAAGCTACCTGAGGAACCTTTGTTTCTGTCTCTGCAAGCATAATTTCCTTTTCCATCATCATCTGTGATTAAACTCAAGATGGTCACTGGGGAGAACTGCTTTTCTGTAGCTTCAGAATCTCAATTCTCTTGGTGTTTATTTGGGTTCCCAGTGATTGCCTTTGGACCACAGCCAGGAACCATATTAATATGGTCTTGAATCATATTTAAATAATTTCAAGCTTTAGAAGCCTGGGCCGGGTGCAGTGGCCATTGTCTGTGATCCCCCAGCAGTTTGGGAGGCCCAAGGTAGGAGGATCACTTGAGGCAAGAGCTTAAGACCAGCTTGGGCAATATAGTGAAACCCCAGCTTTACCAAAAATTTTTAAAAAATTAGCTGGTCATGATGGCTGTTGCCAGTGGTCCCAGTTACTTGGGATGTTGAAGTGGGAGGATCAATTGAGTCTGGAGGTTGAAGATGCAGTGAGCAATGATTGCACCACTGCACTTGAATCTGGGTGACAGAGAGGGATCCAGTCCTCTTGTTTTGTTTTGTTTTGTTTTGAGATGGAGTCTTGGTCTGTTGCCTAGGCTGGAGTGCAGTGGTGCAGTCTTGGCTCACTGCATCCCTCCACCTCCCAGGTTCCAGCGATTCTCCTGCCTCACCTGAGTAGCAGGGATTACAGGTACGTGCCACCACACCTGGCTGATTTTTGTGTTTTAGACAGGGTTTCACCATGTTGGTCAGGCTGGTCTCGAACTCCTGACCTCAGGTGATCTGCCCGCCTCAGCCTCCCAAGGCGTTGGGATTACAGACATGAGCCACTGCGCCTGGCAAACCCTCTTTAAAAAAAAAAAAAAAGGCCAGACACTCTGGCTCATGCCTGTAATCCCAGCACTTTGGGAGGCTGAGGCAGGTGGATCATGAGGTCAAGAGATCAAGACCATCCTGGCCAACATGGTGAAACCCCATCTCTACTAAAAATACAAAAATTAGCTGGATGTGGTGATGCATGCCTGTAATCCCAGCTACGGGAGGCCTGAGTCAGGAGAATTGCTTGAACCTGGGAGGTGGAGATTGTAGTGAGCCTACATCACACCACTGCCCTCCAGCCTGGTGACAGAGTGAGATTCCATCTAAAGAAAAAAAAAGAAGCCTGTCTTTTAGTTACTGGGTTTGGTATTCCTGATTTTTTAAATTCTTTGAACTCCACCTTGGGGGTGTCAAGTATAATCCTATTTTTGCCATTATTGTTACAAAGAGCATGCTGTAGAGAAGATACATTAGATTTCAAATGATGAAAGCAGAGCTATAGGAACCAAGCAAAGATAAGGATGGGTATGTTACCAGCAACAGAAGGAATGGAAGGATAAAATATAGGATTTGATAGTTAGGATGGCTTCAGTATCAAACAGCTGTTTGCCTACCCTGTGCCCATTCTTTTCTATGACTGCTAGAGAAAACATCTTCAGTGTCTTTTAACTCTTGTTGGTAGTTGCCTCCATATTTCTAAATAACCAGCTTATTCTGCTACACCTTGGCTTTCTCCCCTAATGATTGCTCAGTATAGAAAGGTGATTTACTTCTCTTTCACTCTTCTCCCGTCCATACCTTCCCACCGTATGCACACTTATGATGGAGACATGTCTCTTCACGTGTTCCCATACCTCCATCATTCTGATGCAGTTATTTCATGTTTTTGGTTAGATCTGTCTTCAATTTTTATGTTGGTATGACTGTAATTTCTGTTTATAGGTAAATCATGAAAGTATACAGTGATTTATTTTTGTTTCTAAATTTGTATTTTTTTTCTGTAGTTAAGTTTTTGCTTGTTTAATTTTGTTATCATTACGGTATTAATCATGTATTTAACTGCAGACTCTCCTTTCAGTATCTGAATATTCTTGGCTGATACTTTCAGCCAAATTATTAATTGTATTCCTTTTTTCTTCCTAGTGATACTGACTGCTAAGTTTTTCTGACTTCCTTCAGAGTAGCTTAGTTTTTCTTAAGACCTTCTGTGCAATTTTTATCCTAGGATCTCCTTTTTGATTTTATTTTCTATATCCTGTGTCATTTCTTTTCTTGGAGCAACTCGAGTAGCTTCCTGGAAAAGGGTGATAGAAACATTGAGACCTCTGTATCTGAAAATGTTTTGACTTTATTCCTCATTGCTCTGTTTTCTGTCCTCTAGTTTTCCTAATGAGAAGTCTGATGGCATTCTAATTTTTGTTACATTGTAGGAAGCTTTTTGTTTCGGTTTTGATTTCTCTGAATAGTTTTAAGAACTGCTTCTTGTCCTGTTAGGGAATGATGTTCCCTCTCAGTTTATTTTTATCCATTTGCTAGGTATTGAGATGTTATTCCCAGGAGGACTGTGCAGTAATCTGCATTATCCTCTGCCATTTCTTTAGAAGGTAGCATAGTTTTTGGCACATAGTAGGCATTTAATAATTATTTTTTGAATAAATCTAATGTTCATAGATCCCTAATGACATCTTTATATTATCTTCATTGTTCCTTGTGCCTATTTTGCCTTCTTTATCTAATATGCAAAACTTTTTAACTTCTTATCAGTTTACTATGCCTGTCTTCAGTTTGGTTTTTTTTTTATTTTTCTCAGTATCCAGTAGTTTGAGTGTTTTTACACCTGAGAATTTATTTATATTCAGATCTGATATCTGAAACTAAAAAACCTCATGATATGGCATTTCATAGGCAACTTTCTAGTATACTACAATCATGTTGTTATTTATAACATATGACTAATTGTTCTCATTTCTAGACACAGTCTGGAAAATTGATGATCTTATGGAATGGCATCAGGAAAATAAAGACAAGCTGGGAAGTACGGCAAAAGCTTTGAATGCACTACATTTGGAAAACTATGTCTTCTTAGTACAAATTATCTTTCAAGACAAAAGCCTCATAAATGTGGCACGCATGGAAAGGGTTTGAAATATATAGATTTCACTAGTAATTATGCTGGAAAAAATCCTAATGGGTTTCAGGTACATGGAAAATCATTCTTCCATTCTAAACAGGAGCAAAGTGTTATAGGAATAAAATACTGTGAAAGTAATGAATCTGGAAAAGCTGTCAATAAGAAATCGCAACTTATGTGCCAACAAGTGTATATGGGCGAAAAACCCTTTGGATGTAGCTATTGTAAGAAAGCCTTCAGCAGCAAGTCATACCTTGTAGTGCATCAGCGAACTCATGCAGAAGAGAAACCCTATGGGTGTAATGAATGTGGGAAAGACTTCAGTAGTAAATCATACCTCATTGTACATCAGAGAATTCATACAGGAGAGAAACTGCATGAATGTGGTGAATGTGGGAAAATATTCAGTTTCAATTCACAACTTGTTATACATCAGAGAATCCACACAGGTGAGAATCCGTATGAGTGCTGTGAATGTGGGAAAGTCTTCAGTAGGAAAGACCAGCTTGTTTCACACCAGAAAACTCATTCAGGACGGAAACCATATGTGTGTAATGAATGTGGGAAAGCTTTTGGTTTAAAATCACAGCTCATTATACATGAAAGAATTCATACAGGAGAGAAACCATATGAATGCAATGAATGTCAGAAAGCCTTTAATACAAAGTCCAACCTTATGGTACATCAGAGAACCCATACAGGGGAGAAACCTTATGTTTGTAGTGATTGTGGAAAAGCCTTTACATTCAAATCACAGCTCATTGTACATCAGGGGATTCACACAGGAGTAAAGCCCTATGGGTGTATTCAGTGTGGGAAAGCATTCAGTTTGAAATCACAGCTCATTGTACATCAGAGAAGTCACACAGGAATGAAACCTTATGTATGCAACGAATGCGGCAAAGCCTTCAGGAGCAAGTCTTACCTTATTATACATACAAGGACTCATACAGGAGAAAAACTCCATGAATGCAACAATTGTGGGAAAGCCTTCAGTTTAAATCACAGCTCATTATACATCAGAGGATTCATACAGGAGAGAACCCCTATGAATGCCACGAATGTGGGAAAGCCTTCAGTCGGAAATACCAGCTTATTTCACACCAGAGAATTCATGCAGGAGAGAAGCCTTATGAATGCACTGACTGTGGAAAAGCTTTTGGTTTAAAGTCACAGCTTATTATACACCAGAGAACTCATACAGGGGAGAAACCATTTGAATGTAGTGAGTGTCCGAAAGCCTTTAATACAAAGTCAAACCTGATTGTACATCAGAGAACTCATACAGGAGAGAAACCCTATGGTTGTAATGAATGTGGAAAAGCCTTTACGTTCAAATCGCAACTCATTGTACATCAAGGAGTGCACACTGGAGTGAAGCCCTATGGATGCAGTCAATGTGAAAAAACCTTTAGTTTGAAGTCCCAGCTCATTGTACATCAGAGAAGTCACACAGGAGTAAAACCATATGGATGCAGTGAGTGTGGGAAAGCCTTCAGGAGCAAGTCATACCTTATTATACATACGAGAACTCATACAGGAGAGAAACCACATGAGTGCAGGGAATGCGGGAAATCCTTTAGTTTCAATTCACAACTCATTGTGCATCAGAGAATTCACACTGGAGAAAATCCCTATGAATGCAGTGAATGTGGAAAAGCCTTTAATAGGAAAGACCAGCTCATTTCACATCAGCGAACTCATGTGGGGAAAAGCCTTATGGGTGCAGTGAATGTGGGAAAGCTTTTAGCAGCAAGTCATACCTAATTATACACATGAGAACTCATTCAGGTGAGAAACCATATGAATGTAATGAATGTGGGAAAGCCTTCATTTGGAAGTCACTACTCATTGTACATGAGCGAACTCATGCAAGGGTAAACCCTTATAAATGCAGTCAATGTGAGAAATCCTTCAGTGGGAAGCTACGCCTTCTTGTACACCAGAGAATGCACACAAGAGAGAAACCATATGAATGCAGTGAGTGTGGAAAAGCCTTCATTAGGAATTCTCAGCTCATTGTACATCAGAGAACTCATTCAGGAGAGAAACCCTATGGGTGCAATGAATGTGGGAAACCTTCTCTCAAAAATCAATTCTCAGTGCACATCAGAGAACACATACAGGAGAGAAGCCTTGTAAGTGCACTGAGTGTGGGAAAGCCTTTTGTTGGAAGTCACAGCTCATTATGCATCAGAGAACTCATGTAGATGACAAACATTGATAATTTTATGAAACTCCAGAAAGTGGATTCACAAGAAATCACAAAGTCATATATAAAGAGAAACTCTGTAAGTGGAATCATCTTGTCATCTTCCAGAAAACTCATACTGAATAGAAACTTCATGAATACACAGCATATGGAAAGGCATCTACAGAAAGCTGTTCTTTACATACAGAAAAAATAGTAGAAAATACACAGAAAACTGAATTTAGTAACCACTCTGAAAATTCTCAGCAGCAAGTCATACCTTTTTTAAAAAGTTCATACAGGTGAGGAACCATGTTAAACAAATGTTGTAAAGTCATTTATTAACATAAGATTCACAAAGAGGAAACTTCATGAACCAGATGAATATATAATAGACTTCTTTGAAATTCATAGTTTACAGGATTTTTAATGAGAGAAATTATTGAGCTAATGAATAGCAGAATTAACAAAAGTACAAACATTTTATGTATCGGAAGCATATACCTTGGAGGAACCATGCTGTAAGGGAAAGTTTAAATCTGGAAATGACAGACCCCTAGGGAAAAAATATAGGAGTGAACATCTATGAATGTATCATATAAGCCACAGCTGGACTGTTAACCTCACCTTATATCAGAAGCTTCATTCTAAAAAAAAACCCCAACCTATTATTATATTTTAATATTAATTTTGAAGAATGATTTCCTTTTGGAATCATTTAAGAGAAATTTTATTCCAGGTGTTCCAAATTTTCAGGAAAAGATTTGAGTAAATTATAAGATACAGATTATTTCATTGTACAAGTGAATCTAGTAAGGCGGTTAACAAGAAGAAGTTACATACCAGAGCCTGCAGGGATATTTAGATATCTTCCTATGTATACTACATAATATGAACTTGGCAGTTTGGCATTTTACTTGTGAATGCCGTATGTGAGACAAAAGTAAATATCTTCCAGAGATTTCTACTCTGCATACCAACATTGTTTCTTTGTGGCTTACCAAATACAACTTGTTACTAGAATGACTTAGTAAAAATGCATTTCCACACTGCAAACATTTTGTTGTGTATCTTCTGCCCTTTGGAAGCAGCCTTGGCAGCAACGTCTTTAGTTATAGTAACCAATATAAGGCATACTTCATGTGTTTGTGTAGCCTGGAATGTATTCTACTGTCACTGGTTAGAACATCTTGATTTCCTCTTAGAGAAACATTCCCTCACAGTATATGCAGTCATGATGGAACCACCATTCAAGATGCCCTGCCAGGGACTTGGCATGAGCACTGTTGTCAGCTGAGGCTCAGAACTGTACATGGTTAACAGGTTTTTCAGGTTCAGAAAAGCAACATGAGCTTTTGTTCTATGGTGGTATCTTGATGTAATAAGTAGCTATTTCAGTAGAGGTTCCTAGAACAGCTTTTGTTACTGTCATTTCTTAACCTTGTTCACTTGTCTTTTATTTTGAGCTATTGGGTGTGCTTTTAATACATTCCTTGTTGGATTGCATTAGCCATTGTGTATCTGTGTATGTAGCTTACTAAATCAGACTGCTTCAGAAATGGGTGGTAGAGAGAGGTGTAGGCAGAAGCTTGCAAGGATATGTGGATATTTGGAAACGGCTGTTTCCCAAGACAGGATGGAAGTCCTTCAAGTCTCCATTTATATTCCACAGCAGAAACTTGGCCCATGCTATGAAGTCATGAAATGAATTGTTGGCATCATGTGCTCACTGAGGCTCTGGGGAAATGGATAAGTTGTCACTGAAAAAATTTAAACAATTCTGGAGTGTGGTCAAGAGGGACTGCTTTTGATACCCATGTATATAATGATCTTAAAACTTCAATTTAAAATTGCGTGTCGTCAGTGATACTACTTAGTTATGTGTAGCTGTAGAGTCAGAGTGGTGAAAAATTCTGCCAGTTGCTTACTCACAAAATTAGTTTTATTCACTACCTCATCAGGTTTGTTAGGTGAGTGGGCATTAATCTGTGAATAGTGCTACCCTGGCAGTTAGATTAGGGCTATCTTGGAGGAATATGAGGATTCAACACTGCAAATATTTCTGAAACACCTTCTGCTTTGTACTCTATTAGAGGAGGGAACCCTGTCTCTTGCCCAAAGAAATTGTCATCCTTGAAGGTGAGGAATTTTAATGGTTTCTGAATACCTAACTATTATTGTGTTCTGCTTATACAGAATCCAACCTCAAGATACCTTGGGTGAAGAATGATGATTCACAGAAGGGAAGAGAAATCTTACATAAATAATTGCAGATATTTGCTAAAGTGTATCCCCCAATCCGGGAAATACTGTAAAGGTGTATATTATTATTGATGTACCAAAGAAGACAGAATAAATTCATAAGAGAAAATTTATATTCAGCTTACTACTACCTAGGGTTAGATTTTAGTTTGTTGCTAGTCTACACGCAGCCTTGCTTGGTAGAAGCCAGAAGTGTTGACAGTATTGAGGACAGCACTCAGATACTGTGGGAAAGAATAATACTTGATTAGGACTTAATACTGTTTAATGAAATGAAAATTTTACAAAATAGAAATTGAGTCACTGGTTTGTAAATCTACCTACTCTTTCTACCCCAGTCCCAGAAAAAAAAAAAAAAGACATTCCAGAGACTTTTCAGGAATAATTATTAGTTACAAGAAAATCCAAGGAAAAGATAACCCCAGTATTTTACAACTTCCCCATCAAATAGGAATTTAGGAGAAAAAATGACTTGCAAACCATATTTGTAAACATAGATTTAAAAATTCTAAGTGGAATTATAGCAAAGCAATGTATAGCTAACAACAAGAAAGTCATGATATTATTAGGTTTAACAGACTATTCGTGATCCAACTTCCTTTGTTCATTACCAGCAGAATCACTATTATTTATAATGGCAGTATGCCCACTTAAAAAGAGAGAGATAGGGCCAGGCACAGTGGCTCACACCTGTAATCCCAGCACTTTGGGAGGCTGAAGTGGGCGGATCACCTGAGGTCAGGAGTTCGAGACCAGCCTGGCCAACACAGTGAAACCATCTCTACTAAAAATACAAAAATTAGCCATGTGTGGTGGCAGTGTGTGTGTATATATACTGCATATGTATGTGTTATATACATACTGCATGTATGTGTGTATATACACTGCATATATTTGTGTATATATACTGCATATATATATATATATATATATATATTATTTTTTTTTTTACTGTCTTTGCTGCCAAGTGTGGCCATGCTACTAAGTTTTGAATAATGGAAGTTGTTGAGAAGATCTAATGGGAAGGTCCCTTAAAAAGGTAAGCAGACAACTGGGGAAAGCCCCTTTGTGCCTTTTAACATTTTTTCTTTTTTATCTGCATTATTTAATCTCCGATGGTGTAGGAGATTCAGCAATTATCATAGCACTTAAACTCATCCTGAAGATTTAGGCCATCTGCTGGAATGTATAGCAGAAAAAGTGATGTGACTCTGATAAACAGGATGCTATTTTGCCAGCTTTAGACTACCTACATCTTGGTATCTTTTACATGAAAGAGAAATGAACTATCTTAAGGCACCTTTTCTCTTTGGGATTGGAGGGGAGTTGGTTCTGTTAAATTGGGCTGAACCTGATCTTAATGGAAACAAAGTAGTATGTTTGGGTTGAGTGTGGTGGCTCACAGTGGTAATCCCAACACTTTAGGAGGCCAAGGTGAGTGGATCATTTGAGGTCAGGAGTTTGAGACCAGCCTGGCCAACATGGTGAAACCCCTGTCTACTAAAAATACAAAAAAATAGCAGGATGGCAACAGGTGCCTATAATCCCAGCTACTTGGGAGGCTGGGGCAAGAGAATCACTTGAATCCAGGAAGCGGAAGTTGCAGTGAGCCAAGATCATACCACTACTCCACCCTAGGTGACAGAGCGAGACCCTGTCTCAAAAAATAAGAGAGTAGGTTTGGAAGATTTAATATTAGAAAATATTTTAATTAACTTCATTACCAGATAAAACTCATAGGGATTGTCTCAGTATATGCTGATAAATCACTTGATGGAATTTAATACCCATAGATGACTTTCAAATACTATTAAATTGGGAATAAAAATTCCTGTAACTTGGTAGGGAATATATGTTCCAAAACACATGTTTGGAACATACGTTCTGAAAACACAAGTCATACTTAATGATAAAATAGATTTCATTTAAAGTAAAATTAGCCAGGTGCAGTTCCTCATCCCTGTAAGCCCAGCACTTGGGGAGGCTGAGGCTGGAGGATTGCTGGAGCCCAGGAGTTCGACACCAGCCTGGCCAACATAGGGAGACCCTGTCTGTACAAAAACTTTTAAAAAAGATTAGCCAGGTGTGGCCAGGCACCGTGGCTCACACCTGTAATCCCAGCACTTTGGGAAGCCAAGGTGAACAGATCACTTGAGGTCAGGATTTCAAGACCAGCCTGGCTAACATGGTGAAACCCTGTCTCTACTAAAAATACAAAACTCAGCCAGGTGAGGTGGCATGTGCCTGTAATCCCATAAACTTGGGAGGCTGAGGCAGGAGAATTGCTTGAACCCAGGAGGTGGAAGTTGCAGTGAGCCAAGATTGTGCCATTGCACTCCAGCCTGGCCGACAGAGCAAGACTCCATCTCAAAAAAAAGATTAGCCAGATGTAGTGACATGTGCCTGTAGTCCCAGCTACTGAGGAGGCTGAGGCAGGAGGTTAGCTTGAGTCCAGTAGTTCAAGGCTACAGTGAGCTATGAGCATGCCCCTTGTACTCCATCCTGGGCAACAAAGTGAGACCCTGTCTGTAAAAAAACAAAACAAAATTACAAGAGTGTGCATCACTTTTATGAAATGAGTAACATCTAGCCAATGTGTGAAAACAAGGAATGTAAGGAATTAGGGATGGGTGCAGAAACAAAACTGCCATGAATTAGAGATGCAATTGTGTAATTAGGAAACCCAAAGTAAACCACAAACAAATGTTTAGAACTGCCAGTAGAATAGCAAGTATGCCATTGTCACTCAGCATCCATGGAGGATTAGTTCCGGACCCACCCCCCAACCACATGGATGCTCAGGTTCCTTATATGGCATAGTATTTGCATTGTGTGTGTGTGTGTGTGTGTGTGTGTGTGTGTGTGTGTGTGTGTTTTTGAGATGGAGTCTCACTCTGTTGCCAGGCTGGAGTGCAGTGGCACGGTCTTGGCTCACTGCAACCTCCGCCTCCTGGGTTCAAGCGATTCTCCTGCCTCAGCCTCCCAAGTAGCTGGAATTACAGGCATATGCCACCATGCTCAGCTAATTTTTGTATTTTTAGTAGAGATGGGGTTTCACCATGTTGGCCAGGCTGGTCTTTAACTCCTGACCTCGTGATCCACCCACCTCGGCCTTCCAAAGTGCTGAGATTATAGGCGTGAGCCACCAGCCTGGCCAGTATTTGCATATTTTCTATGCACATTGTTCTGTATACTTTAAATCATCCCTACCGATAGTACCTAATCCAATGTAAATGCTATATGTAAATAGTTCTTATACTGTATTGGTATTTATGTTTTCATTGTTGTTAATTATTTATTGGTTTTTCAAATATCATTGAGCCAAGGTTGGTTGAATCCATGAATATAGAGCCCATGGATTTGGAGGTCCCTGTGTGTGTGTGTATGTGTGTGTCTTAAATAATACCACTGTGTCCTGCAAAAGACATCTTACTAAGCAGAAATTAATGTCACATCATTTAAGATTGTCACTGTGTCATGAAAGATTTTGTCAAACATGACAATTATGTCAATTGAAAACAAGGTAAGTATACTTTTAAAATATCGTTGACAAAAATTAGCAAAAGTACATAGGATTAACAATTTTATGTAATCCCAGCACTTTGGGAGGCTGAAGTGGGAAGATTGTTTCAGCCTATGAGTTTGAGATCGTCTGGGCAACATTGCAAGACCCTATCTCTACAAAAAAATAAAAAATTAGCTGGGTGTGGTGGCATGTGTCTGTAGTCCCAGCTATGCGAGAGGCTGAGGTGGGAGGATCACATGGGCCTGGGAGGTTGAGGGTGCAGTGAGCTGTGATTGCAGCACTGCACTCTAGCTTGGGCAACAGAGTGAGACCCTGCCCCTAAAAAAGAATTGTGTAAAATCTAGAAAAAGGAAAAATTAAAAGTCAAATAAGAGAAACCTATTGCATCAAAGTGGAAACCTAGAGGAAATGGTTGATTTCCTAGTACAAATACACATGTTAAGACCTTGAAGGAAAGTATTAAAAAATTAGCATAGAAAAGCTTAGAATACTGCTTCGAGAGCGCCCATTGAAAAAGTCCCCAGGGTCACACAGGTTCACAGCTGAGTGTTAACTAACCTTTAAGAAATTGATTTTATTTAAAATGGTCAAGCCCTGGGGGAAAAAAAGGGTTGACTTCAATTAATTTTATGGCATAATATCAATTTTATTTTATATATTTTTCTGAGACGGAGTCTCACTCTGTTGCCAGGCTGGAGTGCAGTGGCACAATCTTGGCTCACTGCAACCTCCGCCTCCCAGGCTCAAGTGAGTCTCCTGCCTCAGCCTCCTGAGTAGCTGGGACTACAGACGTGCACCACTACGCCCAGCTAATTTTTGTATTTTTAGTAGAGATGGGGTTTCACCATGTTGGCCAGGTGGTCTCGACCCTCATGATCTGCTCCCATCAGCCTCCCAAAGTGAGGATTACAGGCATGAGCTACTGCACCTGGCCTAATATATTTCTAATGTATGATGTCAGTGTTTGTAAAACAATCTTTTATGCACGAGTATAGCTGTAGAACCAATTAACTGTGACCTTCTCAGGAAAAGAAGGAAAAATGATGAGTTAACATCTGTTAAAGCCACAAACTCATTTTTTTTTTTTTTGAGACAGAGTCACTCTGTTGCCCAGGCTGGAATGCAGTGGTGTGATCATGGCGCACTGTAGCCTCAACCTCCCCTGGCTCAGGTAATCCTCCCACCTCAGCCTCTGGAGTATCTGGGACCCACAGGCAAGTGCCACCATACCTGGCAAATTTTGTGTATTTATTTATTTTTGAGATGGAGGCTTGTACTGTCGCTTGGGCTAGAGTGCAGTGGCGTGATCTTGGCTCACTGCAACCTCCTCCTCCCAGGTTCAAGCGATTCCCCTGCCTAAGCCTCCCAAGTAGCTGGCTTACAAGCACCCGTCACCACGCCTGGCTGATTTTTTGTATTTTTAGTAGAGATGGGGTTTCACTATGTTGGCCAGGTGGTCTCAAACTCCTGACCTCGTGATCTGCTCTCCTTAGCCTCCCAAAGTGCTGGGATTACAGGCGTGAGCCACCAGCCTGTACTTATTTTTCTTAATTCTTTGCTAAAGGGCCAGGTAGAATTATTGATTAA